TATGATGCATTCGTAATATATCGGTTTATATTGATCGCATATCACCATATCTGAAGCGCCACGAAGCAGGTTTAACGTCAATTAATTTGAAACTTTGGCATAGCAATTGCGAGAGAGCGAGAAAGAGGAATAGGGAGATGGGATAGATGGGATTTCATGAACTCGCGAAGATCTGAATATTGCCAATGAAATTAAGGGGAGTGAAGGAAGTACGTACCACGTCGTATATACCACATTACTCAGTTTCGCTGATAATATTATATCTCATTGTCAATTGATTAATTATCTTAATGTAAGATGTAAATAAAAAAAAATCCGATTCCATCGATGTTCTAATTAATCATATTAGTTTTATATTGATGTTTATTGAGAATTGTATATGTTTCGCTTTTTATGCAATGCCATTTCTTATTAGATTAGTTTTTATCAGACAAATTTATCGAATGATACATTGAGATAAGATCAAATATTGATATCTAAAAAGAATATTGTAATTTATATAATTTTAAATATTAAAGATAAAAAATTAAATCTCTTTCTCTTTTTCTCATTTTTACAATAGTTCGGCAATTTGCGTAATCACAAATGTAAAATGACATTTGTGCGCACTGTCATACTTTAGTCTCCTCTGGGTATCCCGAGACTATTGAATAATTGAACTACCAAAACTGCCGCGTAGTTTAAGAAGTATTGAACGCAATAGGTAAATTTACGCGGCCAGGATCGTGGTTTTGCCGCGCTCGCCAACGATGTACATCACTGGCCCCATGAGAAACTGATCCTATAAACTTGCGCGCGCGAAATCAGAATGCCGGCCATTAAACTCGATGGCGTCGCGGTCGATGGCATCACCGAATTAATTCAGGATACTTATTGCGTTTCTGAGATTCTAGACATTCACAAGCCGTTTCCTCTCTAATTATCGAATTATTAAATCTTAATAAACGCGTTATGCGTTTAACTGAATGAAGTCTCGTAATGCTATATGGTAAAAAACATAAAGAGTCATTTTATATAGACAATATGAAGTACTCGCGCACATCCTGCAATAATGTAATATCGTAGCTTAGCCGCGATTTAGCGAGTGTCACGAGTCTTAAGCGCCATAAAATGTTTCCCCCTCGTCATCTATATTGAGTTTTGCCAGCGCAAGTGATGACGGTTTGCTTCTTAAGATAGATCCTTATTCGCTTGCACACCGAATCAATAGGAATTTGACCGTGCGTGAATGCACGGTGCGATAGCCCGGAATGCGAATGATGAGAGGAAGGGACCGCGCGGAATGAGTGATAATAAAAATCGCATCTACGCACACATACTCTTGTTAATATGCAGCGAAGCATTCCTGTTGTCGATTGCCTGAATTTGCGGAATCCTCGGAACGAACGCGGATTTTAAGAATAAGTTTTCGACCTTGTTAAATTCTATGCCCTGGAAATCATCGCGATCTCGAGAGGAAACCTATTTTTCTCTCGCTCTTCAGCCGCAGGTGGTAATTCGCTTTTGTGCACGGGACGCGATCGACTCGCATGAAAATACGATCGAATGCGCATATAAACGTGATCGCGATATGGATCGCGGCAGTGTGTATATAGGTCAGTTATATACAGATCGCCGAGTACGCGATGCCAACATGCATTTACGGTAATGGCGCAGATATGGTAGACCCATTTAAATATATATACAACGAGCCACACACGCACATACATTCATAAGAACTCGCCAACATTTCTTTCGTCGGCGTTCTTCCCCTAAATATCGACTTTTTTGCGATGACCCGCAAACTTTGCAACCTCGAGTGTATTTACGATGCGATTATCGACAATCTTTATTTCCAATCGAAGACGCCTGTCAGAGATAGACTTATCTCACCTGTGTTACAAAGTAAATAATATAAAGTATAACACGAATTGAAATACGATTCATCGTCCTTAAAAAAATCCAACGTTTATCGAGTTTCTTTTTTCGGATGAGTAAATATCTTTCAGAGAGCCGCGAGATATCTTGCAAAGATATCTTTGTCATCGAGGTTCGATGACGACGCATGGTAATTCACGATAACGAGACGCACAAGGTTGAGTAATAGATTCACATTACACTAGCCCGCATGGATTTCCTCTGCCAACGGTGTGACGTATCGCGCTTGCAAGGTACCGTGTACGGTAACTTCGTCATGACGTCGAGGGCTGGCATTAATTTAATGTTAGTCCGCGGTAGGGGAACTAATTATAAAATGCACGTTATGCGGCGGTTTTCAAGTTCTCATACTGGTACATTCAATTGTTTACTCAGAGTTTATTCGATACCGCGATCGTACTCTTTACAAAGAATGCACATTTAAATTTTACGAAATTTTGAACGTGCAAAATTTCTCCCGGATTATCCAATACAGATTTCATTTTCGTCGAATTAATCCAACAATTATAATTATTAAAATATGCACAATTTCTCTCTTGTTATATTGTATTTATACATGTATATTAAAAATAATAACTTGTGAGAGATGATGAAAAGAGAAAATATATAAACTCCTCACTTGTGTGCTCGACACTTCTGATATCCATCATAAAAAAGGAGCTCTCGCTATAGCGGCGGCAGTAATTTTCGCGTCTCACAACGGGCCTGTCGTACGAACGTGTAAGACCATGACACGTAACTTTTTACGATCGGAGAAATAATCTCGCGTATTATAGCTATGGGAACCCGTCGCTGATACACTGACAATATTCAGGCGCATAATTCTACCTGTCACCTCCACCTCTCCATTCTCCTTGCGCAAACTTATTTACGTTTCGCGAATATAAAAGGAACATAATGATCGCTTATCGAGAACGGGTCGTCGCGTTGCCTCGATTTTATTAAAGACGGCAAGTTTAATGAGCGTCGTTAAAGAGCGACTATGTAAAAATCGAGGAAAATACGCGGGATCAGGCCTGTCGCGGCGGATGAATAATCGCGAGATATAAACTTCGGGGTCAAGCCAGGGAGGAACGGAAGAAGGATGGCCGAGGATTATTACGCGAGGATGGCGTTGTATCGCGAACGAATGAGAGACATGATAAAACGTGTCGCCTTAAGTACTTGGATGTCAGTGGGGAGAGTGATCGGGGGCTGCTGCGTATGTATACCGCGTGTTGTACAGAACGGGGGTAAGAAGGTATCTCGGTGGCAGAGCGAGGGTGCGATATAGTAGGAGCAAAGCGATATCATGCCCGCGTTATTATACGCCGAGTTAACGACAAGATTGTTTCTCAAAGTTAATTTACATCTACCGGGCCCGCTTAAGAGATGAGAGGCAACGTGCCGATGCCTCCTCCCTCTCTCCCTCCCTCCCTCTGTCTTTCTCTTTCGCGCGTGCAAGCGCGCGCACAGTCTCGCCAAATTAATATTCCGCTCTATTCGGGGAATCTTCGACGATGAGACCATGCGACATATCGTCGCCGAGCTCCGCAAACAAGACGGAATAACAGTGGTTAGGTTAACGCGCGCACCAAAATGGCGACGTATCTCAAAATGCATCCGCTTGTTTGCTGTGAGAAGCTTCACGCATGAAGGAACCTATTCGCTTTATCACGACAGTGACATTGTATATAGATTACATATCTTGGAATATTATTATATTGCACGTGTGACAGGTTTAATCGAAGAGAAGCACAAAAGCTTTCTAACATAGCAAATAAATTTTTCAATCAAGAACAATTGTCTCTACCAATAATGAGCGTAAGATTATTTATTATTTGGTAAGTGAATTAAAATAATATCGAATTTTTATAAATATTAATTATGCTACTTAATATTATTTTAATTAATATATTGTTAATATTTTATAATAAAATATGCAGAGTACAGAATAAAAATCAATGTAAAAATAATATGTTATATTTAATTCGCTAGAGGTTTTTCTAATAATATAATGAGTATTGATCTCTTCGATATCTCTATTTCAAAAATAAGATGTTTGGTCTCCAAACATATTTATAGAATAATAAATAATAATGATGAAAATGTCCTGTGATAGATAATACTATATAATAACATTAGCCACAAAATAGAAATGGATCGCGCGATTCTCTTCGTATAATTTTGGCAAGACGTTATAATTTTCTGCAATTTCTCGCGCAGCGCGGATACTTTGAATTTTAAAGCGCGCCATTAGCGATTCATTTATTCTCGCTCGAACAGAAGGGAACGAGACCATACAAGAATGAATACTAAATATCGAGTATAAAAATATCGTGATCGCCATCGACGACGGCGACTCGTTATATTCCGCGAACGGGAATGCATGCGCACGGCAATATCTTGCGCTTTCACGCTTTTCCGACAGAGAGCTTTCACGACAGCTGCCAACCAAGTCGCTCACAAACCACCAAATGCCCCTAACCACCCCGCCTCCTCCGCCTCCCTTTCGTGCTCCTAAGGGTTCGTGCCATGCCCCGATGCTTTTACACACGCGAATATTCCAGTCGGTGAAGATCGACTGGATCTCTCGAGAGCGCGACTGTATTATCGAGGGATGCGAGTTGCGTGTCGATGGCATGCCTTCGTGGCTCCGAAGACGACGTAGTATGGCGATGAAATTCGAGAGCGATATCGGAAGCTTCACGTATATTCCCACTCTATTGTGAACTTGGTCGGATATAAATACTCGTGACGGTGAATGCGGTGAAAAATATATAGCACGCTACTTTCAATATTATTTACCTTATTTACGTAAAAACTTTAGGATTCTGCGCTGAAATGAATCCACGCGCTAATGTTGACGATAAGATTGCATTGTATGCCTCATCGCGCGAACTAGAATGAGACGAATGAGAGAATAATTAGACGAATAAAATCATTCGTTCGACGCTTTATATATCGACAAGAAACGATGTCATGGTGTTTGTATCTCCGAAATTAATTGTAAGATGTATCAATGCACGGCACGTGCCGTGTCTGGGCTCGTAAGACATTGCCGGGACGTTTACGTACGACTTGACTCAACGAGCTTCTTTCAGGAAACATCAGCGACTCGCAATACATCACGTACATGACAAGTAAGTACAAACAATGCATGGGGTGGCGAGCGCGGGGGAGCGGTCCGATGTTATCCGTGCGGCCAACATCTAGGGCGCCGCTCGCGCTCGCGCACACGTAAACTAACAAGTAACGAACGTGGACCCGTGTACGCGCGGCTCGTTGGCAAAAATACACTCTCCGTGCACGATGAGGGAACGAGGTCAGAAAAGAAGTGGACCTCGCGCGCGCACGTAACATCGATCAAGGCTCAGGATCGCGTTTCGAGACACGCGTTCGTACGGGCTCGTAAATCGGCCTGTTTTCGAGCACGAACTACTCAATTTCGGTGAGAGCTGCCGGTATCTAAATTTCAAATCCGCTAATGTGTATTTTTGCCCCGGTCCCGCGGCCGTTCCGCGCGCTCTCTTTCTCTTTCTCTCTCCTTATCGTTTTCTCTACCTTTCTATCTGTCTCCCTTTTCCTGTTATCGGCCAGCTTTTCCCGGACGCTTTGAATTTCAAATTCTGTGCGACCGCTATGTCGGCCACCGCGGCAACAACCGACTTTCGAGTGTTTCCACCCGCTTATGCGCTGTCATTTGTTTCCGTCGCCCTTCGACCTGGTATATACGTACAGACACACCGCGATCTACGGCACGGTATCTCTGGCGTCCCGCACTTTTATTTATGGCGCCACCCGGTGTGTATCAGAATTGATTCTGTGATTTATTCCGCAGTCGATAGCGCGGGTCCGTTATATAATACGACGCGTGAAGGCGAATTTCGTAGACCTCGTTTCGATCACCTTTTTCGCTTCGACGTTGCGTGCGACCAAACGATTACGCGTTATAATTTCTCGCGTCTACTTTACGGGGCGAGTCTCCTCCATTCGCACGTTCTCTCGTCTTCAACCCTCGCGTAATAGTCGCCGAGTGAAATAACGGCGCACGCATAACGAGAAGCGAGAGCGAGATACCGTCTCTTTTCCGGAGAAAAATAACACACTCGAGCATTACGCTAATGCGTCGCTTTAACGGCAATGTAACTCCGACGTTATCGTCGACTAATCTTCTGCCGGCAATGTCTTTTAACGGTTCTTGCCGGTCTTCTTAATGCACGAGACTTTGCACCTAATTGCACGCTACGGCTCGACGATCGCGAAAGTTCCTCCGCGTTGCTCGCGCGAGCAACGACGGGAGCAAGAAAGTTCTCCCGGTAGGGGAAAGGGACGACGGGGGGAGGGGGGGGGGCACGACCCCCGGCTAATTGAAGCGCAATTAACCGCGTTAAAACGCCAAGTGCTGATTAGGGCGCTACGTCTACCATCTACGTCGCCCCGTGCTCGTCGCAGAGCGACCTACTAATCTATGCGCATACGTGACGCGGTGGTTCTTGCGTAAATTGAAAGTCGTCCTTGCCCTCTCATCGCTCGACAAGAGTGCACTCGACCGCCGAAATTCATCGAAGCATTACCCTTCATCTTATTCGACCCTCGACGCCGTTAAGGGCACCGTTTATGAGTTTCTAAACGACAGCGAGTTAAAGAAACGGGAAAGGTTTAATGACGAGAATAGATTATTTTAAGTAGAATCAAATGACACTCTTTTCAATAAATAGCACAGTGTCCGATAAATATTGACAATTTAAAAGTAAAGTTGGACATTTTAATTTTTGATGGTGTCATGATTGGCTATTGAGTAAATGTAATATGTACAATGGAATGATAGAAAAATAACATGTGAAGTAATATGAAAGAAGAATTAATGAGATAAAGATTTAGAAGTACATTATATAATACTTCTTTTCTTTAATTGAGTTATATTTTATTATATATATTATATCGAGTATATAGAGTGAAAGATTTTACAGAAGCTACGTGCTGACGTTATTGATGTTAAGACTCGCATTTATTTTTTATTTGATTATAAAATAGATGTTCTAAGATGGAATGATAAAAATATTTAAATCAAGTCACTCATAAATATTTCTTATAGAAAACTGATAAAATTATTATCGAGAGTCAATTTTCAATATGATATGTAATATTCAATATGAACAACTGACAAAAAAAGGAAATCCCAATTTAGCTTATTATAAATAAGCGCATGTATTATTTCGAGATTAGATAATTCAAGAACAACCGCGAACGCGCGCGACAGGATTTCGTGAATATTCACAAGTCCGTCGAATCGAGGAGACTCTCCCGCTGGAACTTGAATTGTTCTCCCCGGGTGTCGCAAGAAGCATCGTCGGCGTCGTCTTCGTCGTCGGCGTCGGGACACTCGGAGAAACGCGAGCGCGGCTAAGAAACGTTAATTGCGCCGAAGACGTCGAGACGTTATCACGAGAACAGCCGCGGTGGCGTCGTCGCCAGCACCGCGATTTTACAATGGACCAAAGGTGTGGCGGTGAGTCGCGTTTGGTTGGTCGGATTTGCTGACGTCGGATCCGGTGCTGCGGGGCACGGCTGCGATGGGGGAGTGTACCTACCTACTTATTTAGAATATTGCCGGCATACATCTGCATAAATTCAGCGCAGGCTCGTTGCCATTCGCGTCGCACAACCGCACCAACCCCCAGACTTACATATCTCATAGCGGAGAGACGCTCTTACGACAAGGGTGAATAGTCGGTCGACACATGAGGGTTGTGCTCCTCTCTCTCTCTCTCTCTTTCTCGTCTCTGTCCGACACCGTAGCCGCCATCAGCGTTTCGCCGCTCGTAAAGAAATCCCTTGTGATGTTGCCTGAAAGCCTCCTCCTTCCCGAGAACCCGGCGCGAGAGAGGGAAAAAATAAAAATTCAAGGCGGCGTCTCCGCGTCACGCGTTATAGACGTATCTTCGATGCGCGGGCGTGTATTATCGCGCGCGTTAGAGAGAAAGATTAAAGTATCCCGGCGAACGTGCTCGGTAACCGATGATCCATCCTCGATGGATGCGAACGCGCGCATCTCCTGCCATCCCCCCGACACGTCACGGAAAGCGCGCACGAGAGACAGGGTAGATGGCGAGGTGTATAAATGAAAAAGAAACGACATGAGACATGGCGCGACGAGAGAAGCGGCGGGAGAGACTCCACGGTAATATCTATATTACGTGAGCGAGAAGCGCGGGTATATACAATATACATATATATATATATATATATATATATATATATATATATATGCGGGAATTACGCGAGCGCCGATGGGAACGCGGATGTACGCGCGCGGCCCGTTCGCGCCGCAGGCTCCGTATACATATTCAAATTGAATTATACGCGCTACCAGACGCGTTGATTCGAAATCATTCGACGGCTTGGCATCTCCAAAACAAGCTAGTATCGCACCCCTCCGCTCCCGTCAGCCGCCCGTCAGCTACCCCGTGTGAGTTTCTACTCTACAGGGCTGTCGTCCCCTCCATTTCTGACTAATGGAAATTCTCGGCGAGAAGTTGGTTAAACGCATTCGCTTTGCATACGTATCGAAGCGCCTATTGCTGTATCATCTCATGCAGCTTGCCCAAGCGATACTTGGATGCAAACATCGTTTTTGTTGAATTTGAAAGTCGTGCATTCGGTATACCAATTTGTCGAATTTCGTTTGGTCAGCGATAACGAAATGTAATTATACAATATCGGAATCACAGAGATCGAAATTTGAATCCTTGTTCGAAAACGCGAAAAGGACCTAAAAAAAAAGAGAGAATACATCGTGTAGAAAAAAATCGCAATAAAATGCAATAGTAAACGATTATTCGAGTTGTCGGTGATAAAGTCGCACAAGTGTAAAAAAGAACGTTTCGTAGGAGTATATGTCAAAGCTTGCGCGACTGTATTCATTTCTTTCTGGTGAAAGGAGCGAGTGAATAAATTAAGAAGGCACCTGGCGCGGGAAGAGTAACGAATCTTCCGTCGTGTCTTTTCGTGTCGCCGTGGAAATTATTCTTCCCTTCCCCCCCATCACCGTTATTTGGCGCGCCTTTCCGCCATCGTTGTTTATCTCATTAAAGGAACGTGGAAAACGGATAATCCCCGGTTGACAAATCGCGCCTGGCGTCGACGGAGTCGGTTCTACGTTCGCTTCTTTCAGGAACGTAACTTTATCGCTGGCGGAAAGAACGAACGGAAGCGTCGGGCGGAAAGGGGTTTTAGAGTGCCCACGACGCCAGGCGATGGATAGGAGAGTAACCGGGCCCCGGCGCCGCTGGGCGGATAGGAAGCTCCGCTGTAATGGACGCTTTAATTCCATAGGAGAATAAATTGCAATTTTTCCGACCGTGCGACGTCCGCCGTGGAACCGCGAGAGCGGCCGACCCCTCGTTAGCTGTACAAGCCGTGTCAAAAAAAAATATCGTGATTCAATTTGAAGAGTTATATACGCCGTCCTATATTAAAATCTTGAAACGATCAGTTGACGGAATGATATTTAGCGACTGGTGAAATATAGGAGGCTACTATCGCGTCTTTAATAGGAAAGAAACGTGTACGTAATTTTCTCGTATCTGATTTAACGTTAATTTAATTAAAAGCGATGAAAATAGTCTCGAACATGTTTTTTAAATTCGCGAAAATATTTCTAGTATACATTTTTTTATACCACGAAAGTGTTTTAGTCGAGCTAGTTTCGAATTGTATGATAAGAAAAGAGATGAGACTATTCTTAAAAGAGTTTGATCCAATTTTAGATATTCTATTTAAATTTAAGTATTCTATGTCGATTTTATACTTATAGATCATTAATGTGCGAATAAATAAAATATCGCGCATTTGTATTTTTAAATTACATTTATTTAACATCTATTTTTGATCGTTCTAACTCAGTACCAATCGGGAATTGTTTAATCGTGGAATTTTGATTCGCTCCTTATTGTATATTTGATCTTTTTCGTTACGCGAATTATGTCTCATACAAATTTTGATTGACATGAATAATACGTTTATCCTAAAATACAAATTGGAAAGTATAAGTGTACCGACTGTAAGAAAAACATGGACGGTCATATTTTTACTTCGTTTTATATAAATTTCTGTTTAATTACATTTGCTTCGTTCAATG